CCCCCCCCCCCCCCCCCCCCCCCCCCCCCCCCACCCACCTCCCCCCTAAAGTAGATAACCCTACGTTACTTGCTTGATCATGGGTCCCAAGGGTCAAACGCCATTTAAAAAGTCAACCAGAACGGGTACATAGGGCATTCGATCTTAAGGCGGTGTATGTTTACTGTCAACGCAGCACTGATCAAAATATGCGTGAGCCGTATAGGAGTTGGAATTCTTCCACTCTGAAGAAACTGTCTGTCATTTTATTGATCTGCTGTTATTGGGATCTCCACATTCGCATGCCGCGAAGCCCAGCAGTTTGAGATGAAAACCCTGGCCGGCAGATAAAACACATGAAATTTTCCTTGTTGAACATCACGCTCACATGCTGGTAAGATAGTTTGGTCAGTAAGATAACGAACGCACAGATACACATTAAAGCCCTTTATGACTGCGATTCGTCCATTAACAGACTTTACAGCCTACGATTAAATGGATAAACCTCTGGTCGGGTTAGATTGAATTGTATGATTGACCAGCTCGATCTTTTGAATAGGATCAGAGACAATGATGTTCAGGGTGCTTTGCGTGGGTCAAGTTGGCGGAACTACAATAGATTACCCGCTAGCGACCCCCAACTACCGCTATCTCGCCAGGACCGCTCATCTTCGAACACCGGGTATAGACGGTACCAAGAGGTCGTCAGAAGCGTATCGACGCATCCTTGAGATGATACAGTAGCGGTATTTAAACAGCTATCCTTACTTTGTGATAGAACTAACAACAGGACGCAACGCAGCCGTTCACGTCCTTGCAAAACTATTGATTCTTGACCACTTTCCGAATGACGGTACTCATTCCAACTTACTCTCGAGCGAAAATTGGAGGAAAAAAAGGAAAACCGACTTTCTGCCTACCTAGATCTTCACTTTCTCGATCGTCTTCTCTACGATAGATAAACGACTGTTGCCGTTGCTCATCCAGATATAGACAAAGCTGTTTCAATTCCTCATTCTCATTAAGAAGTTCAGTCTGACGGCCTTCAAGATCACGCAATCGTTTTTGATAGAGGGATATCTCCTAAATTCGATAATCACCTCTCAGACATCAACAATTGTGTGCCATAAATATAAGCCGAACCTGTTTCATCACATGCGTCGTGTATCGTCCAAACTTCTGCCATTCTTTAGCTAACCGACGAGTTTTCTGACGATCATCATCGAGGAAACAGCACAAATCTCGCAGTTCCTGAGCATATAAAACCGTTTATGATAGGCATCTACGAAAATCGATAACGATCGATGACGAACCTTATTAGCGGCGGTCAATTTCTTATTGTCCTCTTTCAGCATACGTATTTCGTTCACATGCATCTGCAAATATCGTGCTTACCATTAGAACGAAGTCATTAGCTATTTCAAGACTGATCAGCTTATAGGATGCGCCATGCACATACTTCCTTGCTAGGATCTGCAGGAAAGGAAACGTTTTTAGGCACTTGAAAAGAGGTGAAATACTTCTAAAACTTTACGATCGATATTTCTCGACTTGAAGATAGACACATAGTCAGTATTTGAACAGAAAAAAGGAATTCCAGCTCCATGAGGAACACGAACTNAAAAAAAAAAGATCTGCATCACCCACTTCAACTCTTCGATTCGCGTCCGTCACCAGCTCTTGCTGAAGTCGCATGAGCCGCTGATTTTCCGTATCCAACATTTTACATCGGTGTTTCATGTTTTCGTACTGTAGGTGTGACGCCGAGTACTGTATCTAAAAATGCACAAGTCTATGGATACTGTTTACGTAGTCCTCCGAAAGCGGAACACCGTGAAACTTAAACCTTGACGAACTGGAACTTATAGATTGAGTTGAAGACTATTTTAAAAGAAGAGGAAAGTAAAAAACGCATCCAAAGAAGGGAAGGAATAAAAAAAATAAAAATAAATATAAACTCTGTACAAGCTGCTTTCAATCCATATCTCTCATTTCACCTTCTACCGAAACATCGACGTCTTGCACATCAGACGACTCTTACCGTTTGTTAATGTGAACACTGCTCCGTCATGGCAAATTCGCTGATGTCTGTCATCCAGATTCTTATCGACCCTTACTCAACGAAACCACTTTCTGTCACCTGTCTCAACGTTTCAGCCATACACAACAAACACATATGTCCAGGGAGTACCGGCTTACACAAAAGGACAAACGGTGCCAATAACCTTTGCTCTCTGGAGTCCATATCAGATCTTATCATTTGTTATTACTCAGAACTCGACAGTGCCACCACTACCCTATGTATGCCAACAACTTGTAAGTGTGGATGCTGTACACTCGGAGTAAAGAGGGCAACAGAATGGTAGCTTTGGTACTGATAATCTCTTATTATCCTTGACTTATTATCACTTTCTAACTCTCACTACTCCTGCCCTATCCCATAGCCCTTTTCCTTTGCAAATTGTTTGCTTTACGACTACAGGAAGAGGATGTGAAATTCCCACTAAGTAAAGAAGATTCACGAATTGATACGACAGCGGAATACGTAGCGCTATAACGCCTCCTTGAAGAGAATAAAACGAAAAGCTTAAAAGAGCATCTCTAATGATATGCAATATCAAAAGTAGGATTAATTGGCAAGCAACTTTTAGAGGTCTCCATTGCATCTGAAGGATCCTAGAAGCACGAACACATATAGAAATGAAGGAAACTGAAACTGGGATGTTAGCAACTAGAACGGATTGAAGCATCTATGAGCACGTTTAGCAAGATCATTAAGGGCTAATGCAAGACATTTGAACCGATGGATCAGGATGTTCATGCATTTTTTCCCTTTTCTAAAACCTACATCAAGTTATTCGGTGAAAAAGGACACGAGACCCCATTTTAATTGAAATTTTATCACAGCAGACCGGAGGTGGTATGGGGCCATCAGGCACTAACAGTACTACTATGATATGGGGAACTTATCTAGGATCGATACCCGCCCAAGCCAAGAACGCGTTTTCTCCTCAAAGATTGGGAGGTCAACAGGAATTTTACTCGTTTGGGGAGATGAAAGCATTGACTGAGAAAGTGAGAGGCCCTCGCAGGTCATTGGACAGAGCGAAAACACTTTCGAGCGTCACTTCGAGTTAAAACGAAAGTCGACTGTGCGAGCGCATCCATGAATGGGATTGAGTCCAGGCCAGGAAACCTTACCCTTGCTTGGTTATCATACGGAGTAATGTATGCTAAAGGTCTCATCAGAACTCCATCCCAGTCGCTTCTGACAAGATTAAGAAGAACCCCAAGGAAAGGATCTGGATTGCAGTTAATTTCTGCTCCCATATCCTTTGAGATTCTGCGCGCATTGATGATTCAACGGAATAATCAAATGCCCGTAAATGATGTAAACACGACTGATTAGAGCAACGACATGATAACAGAGAAATAGAAGCGTAAAGTTGCTAACGGCTTGTGACGAACCGGTTTCGCATAGGGAACCGCATATGAGACCACACCAGGCGGAGTCGAAACTGATGAAGCTGGAACTCGAGGAGGGATTTGAACACACACAGTAGGATAGTGGAGTGATGGCCGAGCTGAAAATGGAGTGATTAGACCAGCTAATGGCTATACCCAAACTAGGCTGTTATTGGCAAGTAAGAGTCTTTAGCACTTGCACCTCCTATCACTCTGAGCGAACCGGGAGGTCTACAGAGAGGACCTCTTGAAAAACTATCTACCACCGATGGCGAAGGGGATCTAGGCAGTCTCATCATACTGCTAAGTCAGTACATGAGCTAGACTGTGATGATTCGTTAATCTTCTGAGTGGATCCCAGTTGAGGTATCAGGAACTGTGACGACAGTCCAGTACTCCTTCATGACAAAAAAGGGTCTCAAGTCTACTGGAATCAAAAGTTTCCTTGAAAGGTCCGCTAATTGGAACCAAAACCTCATTGATAAGCCTTTAAATGAAATCGTCGTTTCGAAAAATAGGAAGTTGTTCTCGATCAAGTAAAGCATTCTCTTTGAATAGGATACTGTGTCAACCCTTACTTTACATCATCGTACATATGTCAGAGAGTTTGAAGGGAGTGGAGGGCTTATTACTGGATACATCGCATAACTTTGCTACATAGCCGATTCAATTTATTTGATGATTGTGAGCATGAAGCATAATAACCAATTTCGGCTAGGGAAACTGTGCGAGGCCAATAACTGTGGGCCGAAATATTATACTAGGGGCACACGATGAAGGAAACATTCCTTTTTCATAACTAAGAAGCGACATACTATGCGTTCAGACATAATTAACTCTGAGGAACATATTCAAAACTTACAACTTCCACTTTTCTCCGAATCTATTGATGAATTAGACTGCTGCGTTGCATTGCAAGCATACTGTACAGTATTGTGCTCCGTAGATGCTGTCGAAACACTGATCGTAGACATCACTGTAAAAAAATCTTTTATATCGAAGAAAGTAAATAATAAGGAAGTAGCGCCACGAACGAAGAAGTTGTGAATAAACATTATTCAAGAGATGGAAGAAAAAAAGGGCAGTGAAAAGATTTTTCAGCGCGTTAAAGTATTTAGATAGAGCAATGATTCTGAGTGCCGTTTTGAGGATTGGAGTAACCTCAAAGTTGCTTCCGAAACTCCAGGACTGATGAGATGACGGTGAACTTGCCCAACGGGTTGACGATTTATGGACAAAACTTCAGTCTCGGACGGGACTAGAACCCGCGCTTGTGCTTTCCCGGCAGCGTGCTCTTATCCATCGCCCTAACGGGATCCCACTTGCCCTTGCCTTCTTACTGGCTTACATGCTGAACTTATCAGCACTCACAAGTACAACGTTGGTCGGCCAATATTTATTGTAATTAGGTAGTGTAAGCGATAAAAGCACGGTGCCCGGAAAGCACAAGTACGGGTTCGAGTCCCGTCCGAGGCCGAAGTTTTGCCCACAAAACGCCATCCTTGTGAGACTTTCGCATCGCGTACTGCGGCGAAATAACAGCAGTTAACAAAACATCAAGTCGAAACCGTTGGGTTCAATTTCTAGCATGAAAACTATCATCAAGTAGGGAGGGAGTGCAGAAGAGGTGACAGAGAGACTCTGAAAAATGTCGAAATCAAGTGACTCTACTCAAAGTGTCACCTACTCAAAACAAACTACAGCAAACGAGTGAAAAATGTAACTGTAACCAATGAAGGTAACTTATGCCTTAGCTTTGCCTAATAATCACGATGATACAATAGTATATTAAGCCAGGCGAAAGTGTGGTGGTGCAAAGCCACTACCTATACTTGTAGAAGCCGAACAAGTATTCAACGCCACCGAGGCATGGAACGGTGCATTGAACACATGAACGCTCTCTTGGGACCCCAGAACGGGATCCACCAAGCACAAAAACTTAGATCTCTGAGACACAACAAGAAAGTAAGGAAAATCCAAAAGTCACCATATGGCAGGAACTAGTATGTAACTGTTACAATTTCTTAAAAACAAGCACAAGAATCATCTACACCATCATTTTATGTGTTACTCTTCACCAACATATCGCTGCAATACGGTATTTCACGAGAATTCTAGTCATGGCAGCACCCATCGTGTTGATACTCAATTGACTAAATCTATGTAATATAGTTATGTAGAGCATGTGGGAATAATAATTAGGGTGTAAGGGAATAAATACTATAAAAAGAAAACGGCAGACATTTGCGACGATCTGGAAAAATTACAATGGTATCACTGTGTATGAGTAAGTTTTTGAGATTCCGAAGGTTTGTTTGATCCAATGTGTGAGTGATGCAAAAATCGTACGAACTTCACAAAAATGAAAACGGATGATGTAAAAATCGCACAAACTTTACAAAAATAGAGTCTGAACGAAAACCCGACTAGTGGTTGTTCTGAAGAAATATGGGCTTACGAAAGATTTAAAAAACTCTCAAAAAGAAACTTCCAAACTCTTTGGAATTGACAAACACCCGCCATTTTTTCTTCTGAAAAATCAGTTAAATCGCTCGCCATCAACATTTAATCGTTCAGTTCCCTCAGACGAAAATTTCTAGGACGGTTGAGCAGTCTAAGGTGGGTTATCCGAAAGCTGCGCACCTGATCATTGTTCTTTTCCAACTCTTTTCGTTTTCGGTGATAATGCCAGACTGGTGCCAAAGTGGAGGAGCATGTGCGATTGGTCCAAGATTTTTTCAAGCATGCTCCTGAGGTTAAACCTATTCCGGGTCGTGGCACTCTTTAGCCAAGTAACTTGTATGATTAGTATCAGTCCAGATTCGTCCGCTACCCGATCCACCTGGTACGAGGGAAGCAATGACGACGACATTTGAAGGCTCTAGATTTCTAAGTAAAAGTCTAATGTACTGAATATTTTGGAAAGCTTAACAATCTTATTCTGTATTTGCACAACTGAGAATGGTTTTGTTTTCGTTGATCATCAAAATGATTACTTATGAAATGACTTGACCTTTGGAGGGGGGTTCAAGCGAGGAGAAAAATTTTTCTGGAAGCTGGAAGCATAGGATTATTCCCACCTCCAAAAAGTGTGAGAGTAACTCAGACAGAATATCGTGATGATGCATGGAACGGGGCTTAATTCGATATCCAGTATGCGCCAGGCACTCGACTCCTAATTCAAATCGATGAACTGCTTAGATTCTGCCAGAGCTGATACAATTCTTCATGGAGGCAGTAAACGGCAAGGTCAATGAGTTGCTCATCCCAATAGTGGAGATGAGTTCGATGAGATTTAAATTTTCCACGCCATTTGGAGTGATATATGTGACAGAGCCGGCCGAATGTAACGAACAAAAACGCGGCTATGCGGTGAACTATCGACGATGAACACTGACGAAATCTCGTCTTCGCCATCGCCTCTGACTCAGAGATTCAACCACGATAGACTGCGAGATCGACGCAACACTGCCATCATGACTCGAAAAAAAACTAAAACTTCTGGTAACTGTGACACTACAATGTCCCAAAACAGTTTTTTTTATCATATTACTGCGATGAAGGTCAATAACTGATGGGGTGTGGAGCCAATCTGATTAACTTGGATCATTTATCATACATATTTACGGAATTACACAAAATTATACAAGTTTTAAATTTCCACTAATTTTCTTAGGTTGGGGAAGCCTTAAACACGTATTCTGTCCAGTGGACAAATCGCCTGTAGTGTAACAGGAACCGACTGCCCGCGACCATGCCAAGGGGCGCCATGCATTCTGACTCCATCCAGACTACGGAGCTCTTATGTCTAGCCTTATGCTCAACCCTAGAGGACAAAGAAACCACTAAAAACGATTCTGCAATAGAATTATACCCATATACAATACCCAGGTGGGTTAAATATGTTTACGGTTATCATGACCGTTTGGAGACATTTAGTCTAGGGAACCGGTTTTCTGAAGTTTATTTGTTGAATGAAGGATGGATAATGATAATACACAGGTTTCCAGGTTCTGAAGAAGGCGATTACGCCGAAAGGTAAGTTGATAAGAACTTATTTAACATTTTGGCAGCAGGTTTTAAAAAGTCTTATAATATTAATGCAAAGCCATGCCAAGATTCATCGAGAGTCGAACATGGATATTTCCTCGCAGAGCAGGAGAGGAAGCAAGGATGAAGAGAGAAGAGCTTTTTACAGCCCATAGCCATGGAATGAATTTTCAAAGACATGTTCAGATGATTCTTTTCAGCTATTCATTTCAAAGCTTATGATACGCTTCTGGTAGTACTGAAATAAAAATATAAATATAAACAGCAAAAACTTACTCTGTCGTACTTGGCGGCCAGATAGA